AACCGAAGGACTTGTATGCATGCATATTAGCATCACCAATGGACACAGACACTGGGGAAGTGGGGGCTTGCCCGGGGTGGGAATGGTTGGGGGGAGGTGGGGGTCAAATGGGGAAAAAGGAGACATATGTAAAACTTTAAACAATAAAAAAAAAAGTAGAAAATTATGAGATCTACAGGTTGAATTTATCTATTAGAATACTCAAATATTTTTGCTGTTGTTGTTTTAGTTTGGCCCCTAGGAATGAAAGATTAGCAAAATGGTGCTAAAATGATTTCTAATTTGTGATAAGAGGCTAGAGAAGTGCTTTAGCATTTCTTTGCTTTCTATGTATCCTCAAAAATATGTGGTCTAAGGATTCTTCCTCTGGAAAATATGCATAAAAAGACTTAACACAAATTTAGAAAGTTTAAGGATTCCTTGAAGCCTGACCATGGGGTATGGATTAAGAACACAGTTGGATTAGAGAAAATAGATTGAGTATAATTTTTCAGAGTGTTGTTTTCTTTTCTTTCCTGTACCTTTAAAGTGAAAATGTTCATACATATTCAAAAGTATAGATAATAGAACAATGAACCTCTATGTCAGTAATTATTAACATATGGCTAATCTTGTTCCATTTATATTCCCCACCAATTTTCCTCCCCACTCCAATTATTTTAAAGCAAATCCAAGATATTTTATCATTTCAGCTATACTTCTATACTTTATTTATTTCTGAAAAGTAACACTTTAAATTAAAAATAGTTCCTTTATATCAAATATAAAATTAGAATTCAAATTTCCCCAAATGCCTCAAAAGTTGTTTACAAGTCAGAATCCAAACAAAGTCAACACAATAATTTGGTTGACATGTCTTTTAGGTCTTCTTTAATCTTTTGATTCTCTCCCTTTTTTCCTTTCTCATCCATTTATTGAAGAAATTGGGGCCTCAATTCTGTAGCATTTCCCACTTTCTGAATTTTGGTAATTGTATTCCCATGGTGTTCTTCTATCCTTTGTATTTCTTATAAACTGGTAGTTGGAACTAGAGATTTGATGGAATTCAGGTGTAATGTTCTTAGTGGGAACATGGCAGAGGCAATGTTGTGTACTCCATTACTGCCTATTATCAGAAGACACATGTCTAGTTACCTCTCCATTTGTGAAATATCATTAGATTTAGTGATATCAGTCTCATCTACCGATTATAAGGTTTCCCATCTGCCTTTCACCTGATGATTTTAGCAGTGGTTTTACTGCCTACTCTATATCCAGCATTTTATTACTGGTTAAAAAATGGTGATTTAGTAAAACGATCCTTTTTTAAAAAAATTAATTTGTTGTTGTTAATCCTCACCCAAGGATATTTTTCCACTGATTTTTAGAGAGTGGAAGGGAGAGGGAGAGATAGATAGAAACATCAATGTGAGAGAGACAAACCTATTGGTTGCCTCCCACACGCACCCCAACCAAGGCCGGGGATTGAGCCTGCAACCACGGTATGAGCCCTTGACCAGAACTGAACCGGGATCCTTCAGTATGAGGGCCAATGCTCTATCCACTGAGCAAGACCAACTAGGGCTTCTTACACATTCTTAAAAACTGCCTCTATCATCACATGATTTTGCCAAGAAACGTGGGAACAATAAAATACTAGTTTAAGGTTTTAACAAGCAGGTGTTAAGTAATTCCTCTGAATACCTAAGTATCTTTTAGATATAATCTGAGCTCATACTGTATTTGAACTAGAACGAAATTAGCCCTTTCATCACCTCAACAGTACCTGTTCACTGACTTTAAATTTATTTTGCTATCTTTTTCTCATTGAGCTATTCTTCAAAATAAAACCCAATTTAGCTTCCTTAACTATTTTTGTTAGATGACTTATCATTAATCTTTTAATATTTTACCTTAAGTTACAGCAAAAGTTATTGTAACAGTAGCTTGAAGAACATAAATATTAGTATATCACCTGTGGTATCTTTATATATTAATTAAGGCATCATTTTGCATCTAGTTATATTAATCTGCTAAGCTATGGTAGCAACATTCCTCCATGAAAATGCTTCAGAATGCTGGAAGCTGGTTAGACTTCCTAAATTTCCTTTGCCACTATGTGCCTACTTAAATGGTCCTCCTATTTTAATACTTATTTTCCTTACACTTAAAAGTTCATAAAATCCTTTAACACTGGTCTTCACTGAAAAGTCTAAGGTTCTCTGTAAAATGCCTAATCTACTGTAAGAGTTAAGATAAGTCTTAATGATTGTGTTAAAAAAAAAAATCAAAATTCTGTGTTTATCGAGTTAATGCACATAAACTATGTGTTTCACACACCAACATTGTATCATTGACTTTTTATTTACCTGGGTAAGAGCACTGACTCGGTTCTCACTAGGAAACAAAGGGGGGTCTTCTCCAACTTGAAAATCAAAATATACGGTTTTATGTGTGAACGTAGAAAATTCATTGCTGAAGCAAAATTTGTATGTCCCATTTTTGGAGGCTGCGAAAGTAAAACTGTCATACTGTTTCTTCATCTCCTTGTATAACACATTACCATCAGGATCTTCTAATCGACAATCTACATCATAGTGACCACCAGTAATCACCTATAAAGAGAGAAAAAAAAATAAGAGATCATTGCAATTAACAAGTTTTAGAAATAACCAGATTTCCTGTTAAAATGGCAATAAGGTTATAGGCTAAGGACCTTTACTATCACAGACAATTTTACATTTTTTTATTTCTACCAGTGGATGTAACTTGGGGAGGCAGATTTCAGTTCAACTAAAGGTTTATAAAAACTGAACAAATTTCCTCATGATAGGAGAGAAGGAACTAGCTAACTAGCCAGACAACTATTCTGGTTAATGTAGATCTCTTATATCACTTAATTCTCCCAAACAACCCTACCAGAGGTTTTTTTCACCCTTCCATCTGACAAACTGAGAAACTGAGTTAAGATGAAACTTGACCTCCAAAGTCGTACTCTCTACCCTTAAGCTTAGTGTCATGTAATATTATTCTTCTGTAAATTTTCTCATCTAGTTTCCTATTAGTATCATCCAAGCACACCCATAGATAGAGGAGTGAAATAGTAAGGTAGGTCAGTCCTTAGCATAACACCCCATCACAGAACTCAAACTAATTTTATTGCCAAATTACAAATAGGTTGTGTTTAAATTATTTTACAAGTCAGTTACATAGAATTTGATACATATTTTGTTTTAAACTACATTGCGAATTGAATAGACTTACCAGCTGTTCTAAGAGTATTATCATTTATAAACTTGTTTCCAAGAGAAACAGAAATGATTAATGACTAAAGCAAAAACAGAACAACATAAAAACAAAAAGATCTTTTATCTGGAAAGTTTGTACTTAAGGGCAAGTACATTGAAAGGAAAGCTGGGAATAGATAACATGTTTCTGAAGAGGATTTTGGAGCTATTTTCAAAGGCTTATGCTTAATCGGTCACCATTTGGGCAACTTGTGTTGTCCAAGTGAAGAGAGGAGGGGGAGATTTTTCCTGAAGTAACTGGACAATCACCAGAGGAAAGGGGAAAAGGATTAAAGAGGAGAAAGGCCTCCTTATATGAGAAAGAACTGAGTGGGAAGAGGGAGGAGACAGGAGAAGAAATTAGGGTGCACATGAACACTTGGGTAAGAATTCATGAGGAAGAGACAATGGGTTTGAGGGTTCCCAAACAACATGAGACTGTGTGACACAAGCCTGTATTTTCAAGCTTGAACACTTTGGTTAGCATATTATTGACATTCTAGATCTGTAGAACAGAGATCAAACTTTGGACTTCAGAGAAGAATGGGTTACTTATATGACCTCTTGTAACTGTACTATGCTACAAGATCATTTTGATAATTAAATGAAATTATGCACTTAGGAAACGAAAAATATGTAAAACTAATATTAGAGACATAATGTTTTGACATAAAAACAGTGTCTTATCATTTTACCCCTCCCCCCAAAAGTCAACAACTTTTCTTCCGGATTGGGAGGGGGGAAGAAATATGACATCATTTTATACACCCAATTATTCATATTGACTGTTGTACTTTAAATAATCAAATAAGTACATACATACAAACTGAATAGGGCCAGAACTTATAATCTTGCCACTTTTCTTCCAACAAATTTTCAAACAAGTATTCTCATTTCAGATAATAGTAACCACTTTACAACCTGTCTAGTCACATAAGATAGAAACTGGAAATCGTCTCAAATTAAGTGGCTGTAGCAGTCCAGTTAAATCAAAGGAATCTCTTGATGTTTTTGCCTTTCTCAAATTCATCCCATCTTTTCCATTCCTAATCCACAACACAGACAGGACTATTGCCACAATTTACTAAAGTTCTTCCCACAACCCAATCGCTCATCCCTCTAATCAAGTGTTTCTCAACTTGGATTAGATAATTCTGGGCTAGATAATTCTTTGTTGTGGGGACTGTGTTGCCTGGGCAGATGCCAATAGTCTCCCCTTCTTCACATGTCTCCTGGAGGTGGGGCAACCTCCCTATTCTTCTCCATCCCCCGTTTGCTTAAAACCTTTTGATAATTACATTTCCTTTCAGAAATCCCCTTTTGATTTCCTCTACAGAAAAATCCAACCTGTTAACAATGGCATACCTTTCCTCTGTACCTGCTCCAGGTAGCCTCAGCTCTTCTTCTTCTTTTTTTTTTTTTTTTAATATATTTTATTGATTTTTTACAGAGAGGAAGGGAGAGAGATAGAGAGTTAGAAACATCGACGAGAGAGAAACATCGATTAGCTGCCTCCTGCACACCCCCTACTGGGGATGTTTCGGCAACCAAGGTACATGCCCTTGACCAGAATCGAACCTGGGACCTTTCAGTCCGCAGGCCGACGCTCTATCCACTGAGCCAAACCTGTTAGGGCTCAGCGCTTCTTTTATACCCTTTCTCATTCTGTGTTCCAAAAATAGCAGATTGCCAGAAGTTCTCTGAAGAAGTCCTTGCTTTAAATCTTTTCTAACAGTTAACAGAGTTTTTTTGCTGAAGAACCACAGGACCCAAAATGACAATACTTACAAATCCAGTTTTTTACAGGAAAAGAAAACATCACAGCTAAAAGCTGTCTCACAGAAACTGGTCAAGGAGAGGTCAGGTTTTGGCTTCTTTGTCCTCCCTCTGTGAGGGGTGTGGCTAGACATATACTAGTACTCTCTCTCAGATCAGGTACCACCAAGTGCGCAAGGAACACCTTGGAACTAGCCTAAAAGAGTGTTGGCTGGGTATTTTATATTTTGCTGGTCACACAGGCATATTCCTGATAGGTAACCAGTCTTAATACCAAGACTCTGGGCGGTCTCAAAGAGATCAGGTGCAAATCATCAATCTCACTATTATCAATAAAAAAATGCCAACAAACTAGTACAAATTACCCCCAAAGCCCTTGGGTCCACAGTTACAAAGCAACACTATCACTCCGTGTATTTCAGTGCCAGCTAAGGCTAATTTCAGGCCTGCTGGATTTAAGTCTTACAAACATAACACATCTGCCTAGGATGTCCTTTTTCGTCCTGCGGCCTTGTAACTCCTATTTATCCTTCTAGACTCAGACCAAACATCAGCCCCTCAGCTGAATTTCCCCATGATCCTTCCTCCTTCAGGCAGCACCAAAATTTTGCCACCCCAAAATGTGCCTTTTGGAATATTGATTTTTAAGCTGGTTAAGAAACCAAAGACTCTCAAAGACGGTTACCTCCACTTTTCCCACCCAGGGTTTGGCCCCTGCTGACCCCCATCTCCACCCCCTTTCCCAAAGAGATTCAGATTAAAAAACCTGCTTCAGGAAGGGAACCTCAGCATATTCACTTTATCACATAAGACAGGAAAAATTTAGCAAAGCCAGTTTGTCCCTAGCCTCTGCCCACTGTTCCTGGTTTGCCTAGCAGGCATTTGTTTGCCACATGTTCTGCTCTTTCTGGGTTACCTGTGAATTGCCTATTTCTCCTCTGAAATCCCAGACCCTGACCACACCTTCTGCTTTGTCCAACATGGAGATAGCCTCAACCGCCCAATGGGTTTCGAGTCTCATATATGGTACCTCTGCATATACATCCGTAATAAACTTTGTACATTTTCTCCTGTTAACCTGTTTCTGTTAATTTGATTATAAGTCCAGCTGGAAGAACTTTGAAGGTGGGGGAAAGTCATTTTTTTTTAATGGCCCCACGATACCTACTGTGTACTTTCACTGTTGCATTTAATATTAAATGACTGTACATGTCTACATAAGCTCCTGAGGTCAAAGTAAGTCTTGAGTTTAACCTGGAACTGCATACTGATTCTGCTACTTGCTATGTTTCATGTCCTTGTGTTTTAACCTATGGAAGCCTCAGTTTCTTCATCAATAAAAAAGGAATAAGAAATATACCTATTTCATATCGAGCTGCCCTGAGAATTAATATACCTGAAATGCTTGGCATACTGTCTGACACGTAACAGGTGCTGTTTGTAGTACTATATGGTTTGGCCCCTGCTGACCCCCCTCCTCTCTGCCCCCCTTTCTGGCTTCTTATTCCCAAATATATAGGACCTCTCTATGGTTTTCAAATGATCAGGTACACTGCGTCCTTGCAAAGCCTTTTCCCTCTTCCCCCTTAATGAAGTATGTGCAACTCATTCTTTACAATTCAGCTTAAAATCACTTCCCAAAGGAGGCCTTCACTGATCCCAAAGACCAGGTTGTCTATCCCTTATTTTCTGCTCTTAAAGCAGTTTTGATGAATGAGCAGGTACTAATTAAGAAAAGAAGGGTAGGATAAGCGGGGAATCAAGAATGAAACACAGCACCGAACAGCTATTCAAACACGTGAAATTAAGTCTACCAAAGAGAATAGAAACAAGAGTAAAGATTGTCCTAACCAACTTAAACTACATCCTGCCAAACAAAGCTTTTTTTTTAAAAACTATACTCCCAAAGACAGAAGGGGCCTTTCATTTATGGCAGCAATTCTTTTGACACCACCTTGATGGTCATCTGGCCTAGAATGATGCTCTTCCAAAGAGAGGGCGGCGTTAACCAACAGGTCTACTATCAATGAAAAAACTTAAAAGCAATGGAGCTAGGTATTGGCAGCATCTCAAATCTGATTAAAGCAGAGGTGGGGATTAGAGAGTGGGGACAGACATTGGGCACTATAGAACAGGAATAATTTTTTTTAAACAAGTAAAGTCTTTTTTAAAAAGAAAGTCCAATGGCCTTCAAATGAAGGACATTAGAGAATGGGGGGAAACCACAGCTACGGAAAGCATTTGTGAAACTCCTATGTCTTAATATCTGGTCTTAAATGTCTCTCGTCCACGGTTTAGAAGCGGGAAACCAGAAGCTCTCTCAGCTACCTAGGGCGTATTCCTGCATCGGCCACGGAGTAAAGAAACAAGGTCAGCAGGGGGGCACCTGCAGATTCCTCCCGACCCTGGACCCGAGGGCGGGGCCCCGGGCCGAGCCCGGAGTACCTGGAACTCGAGGGTGCACTTGGTGCCTTGCGTGATGTCCTCGTAGAAACACTGCTTGGCATTGTCGGGCAGCTCGAAGGTGATCTCGGAGGCGCCGCCGGGTCCCGGAACGAGCAGCAGAAGCAGCAGCACGAGCAGCCTGC